CCCCATGTCATTGACTTACTGTAAAAATGGGATCAGGTGTCCTGTGGCGTATCCCACCTTCTGGATTTGTTTGTTCCCTTTGGTGTCATTTAACTTGTTTCACTGTACCCTGAAACCTTTCCCCTTATTTTGAATGTAAGCGTGAGAGGCTCAGCTTGTTGGCTGGTAACATATATACCACACATTAGCACAGCGGAGAGAGCAGGATTTGGCTTGTTATTGCAGTGGTGAAGACCCGAGAATGCATCTGCTAATCAGCAGTTACATGAGGGTTTGACATCAGGTCCTTGTTAGGGGTTGTTGCATCTGCTGGAACTCACAGGCTTGACTGCAGAGATCCCACAGTAGAAGGCTGTGGAAGTACTCACCAGGGTAAATTCCAACAGAATGAATCTCCAGACTGTTCAAGTAACTGACATTTCAGCCTCAAAAGGCACTGTCAACGTTGGAGGCTCCCAGGTTCCCTTCTATTCCAAATCTTTGTGCAATGGCAGTGGCTTTTCTGATGTACTAAGCTTTGGTTTCCCTCCCATTTTCTTTCCAAATGATCTCTGGAGTAGAGAGGAGTTCCATAGACATGAACTGTGACCCTTTGGATGACCTCCATAGGTAACAAACCAGGTGCCGGCATGTTTGACAGTTCCCTTTTCTAAATTGAAGTTAACGTTGTGAAAATAATGGTTACTTCCTGGCATTGGTAGGAGTTAGGAAATCTTTGGATAAACAGAATGAGCATGGTTCTTTATGTTTTTGCTCTAGACAGAAAGCAGCATGTATATTGTGTTTGGACCCAAACCTGACTCCCATTAATGTCCTGCAGGACTAGTGTAAGTACGGAGCAGTCTATATGCTCTCTCATCCAGTGTTCAAAAATAGACTGGTTGAACTCTAACTTTCAATTTTGTGGAATTTCCTGCAAAACACCAAGAGCTGTAATAGAGTTTGGCTATCATATGTGAGCTTTTTTTTCAGTGCCAGTTCTTGGGACAGGTAAAGGAGTGACTCTTGGCCAGAAGACTTGAGTCACCAAGCTGCCATGCCTGCTGACTGCTTACGTCCCCAGCTGTGTGTGGTTGGGGGGGTGGCGCCCACGTTGGGCACAGTGTGAGTTGCTGCTGAAAGGGCGGAGGAGGTGCCCCTTTGGCTTCTTATCCCAGGGTGCCTGTCATGCCCACCTGTCCGTGAGAAAATATGGATGATTTCGGTAGGCCCTGGAGAAGCTTGTCACGTCTGATTGTGCTCACCAGCTGGAGTTCCATTCCCAGACTAGATGTGTTCATCAGTGACTTCAGAAACCACATTCAGCTGTGCTTGGCTGTGCTGATGGGGCATTCTAACAACAACTGGACTTCTCTCTGCTGCTTCCAGCTGGCCATCTTTCCTCACCCCTCCAAGCATCATGAAAGAATTCTTTACATCCTTAATCTCCTCTCCATTTCTCCCCCAAAGTGTGCTTTGATGCTTCAAGAGGGAAGGCATGGAAGTATACCATTGGGGTTCCTGGAGATGGACTTCCACCATGCTCAGCTGTTTGAGTGAGCGTAAGGATCCCTGATGCCATTCATTTGTATATTCCTACAGCATACACCTACCAAGGGCCTTCTATGTCCCCCAACTTGAGTAGACACATTGATGTATTGGGGCAGGTGGAAACAGATTCAGGTGGAGAACTAATTCAGGCTTTCTCCCAGCAGCTGCTCCAGGTGGCCACTGTGGGGATGTTGGGCATGAGCCCAGAATGCATTAGGGGCCATATGACCAAAGGAGGCAGTAGGAGGTATAGGAGGAGCCGATCCCCGAGGAAGAGAATGTAGAGTGGGAAGATGAGGCTGAAGTTTGAATCTTGGGGACATGAGTTGAAGTGATTCTTAGCACTTCACTGTTGATGATTTTAAATGCAGAAATTGAGTAAATAGGATGTTATTTCCCAGTTCAGTGTATTGGTTGCCTACAAGAGTGTTTTCCTACCAGGAATAGTCATATACATTTGTTTTAGAATGCCTGGGACTACAGAACTATTGCAGTGATTACTTGCTTTTTTTTTTTTTTTAAAGATTTTATTTATTTATTTGAGAGAGAGAATGAGACAGAGAGAGAGAACATGAGAGGGGCGAGAATCAGAGGGAGAAGCAGACTCCCTGCTGAGCAGGGAGTCTGATGCGGGACTCGATCCTGAGACTCCAGGATCATGACCTGAGCTGAAGGCAGTCGCTTAACCAACTGAGCCACCCAGGCACCCCATTACTTGCTTTTCTTATGGCTCAAGAATTTATGTTCCCAGGAATGTGACCAGTTTAGCCACTAAAGGTTTAGTACAACAGAGGGCTACCCAGATCCCTCTGTCTAGATTTGCCTTGGAAGCCAAAGGGATTAGGAAAGGAAAGCAAGGAGAATATATCAATCCCAAGAATTGAGCAAAAACCCTATGGCTCTTGTACTTAAAATATCTCAGCCGCACAGCCTCATCCCCTATGCTTTAGGAGGGTCGTATATGCACGTTACAGGCCCCCCGTAAGCTAGTGCTGGGCATGGCTGACCTTCTGTGTTCCTCCTTTTTCTTGTGTTCTAGCCCCAACCCATCAAAATCTTTTCTGTCCATCCTGATGTTTCCAGTCCTGTGCCCTGGATGTATGCTCTTGGCTCTTAGAACCCCAGAGAACTTTGTTTTTCCCTCTTACATGACCCTTAACTTAGTCTTAACACATTAGTAAGGGATTTTGTCTATCAGATGTGGATACTTCTTTTTTTTTAAGATTTTATTTTTTATCTGAGAGAGAGAATGAGCAGTGGGGAGGGGCAGAGAGGGAGAGAGAGAGAAATAGACTCCTTACTAAGCAGGAAGCCCAACGTGGGGCTTGATCCCAGGACCCGGAGATCATGACCTGAGCCGAAGGCAGATGCCTAACCAACTGAGCCACCCAGGCACCCCCAGAGAAAGGAAGGGCTTTTGTCTGCTCTAGCTCTGGTATCTCCCAGATTTAGCCTGGAGTTTCACAGTTTCTGTGTACTTGTATCCCTTTCACTGAACTGAGGTGCTTAGTCTCCCTGGGAAGACAGGATCTCAGCATAGATCAGCTAGGGAGTATTTGACTCTGGGGGCCTGCAGGCTAGTAATATATTAGAATGCCCAAGAACGACATCATAAAGCAAGAGTTCCTTTTGTGGGCCCTGCTCTGTGGCCTCTTGGAATCTAGATGCCACGGAAATCCCTAAGCAGAGATTTTCTGTTGGATGATCAAAGCAAGGAATAAAAATTGAGAATTTGGAAAATGTCTCAACAGTTTCATTACCAGAACAATACAAGAGTCACTTCTAGCTCGCTGTTGGATAATCCATCAGTGGCGTTCTGTGCGAGATTCGGGAAATTTCAGTAAATATTCTTTCTTTCTTTTTTTTTTTTTTATTTATTCATGAGAGACAGAGAGAGAGAGGCAGAGGCAGAGGGAGAAAGAGGCTCCCTGCAGAACAGGGAGCCCGGTGCGGGACTTGATCCCAAGACCCTGGGATCATGACCTGATCCGAAGGTAGATGCTTAACTGAGCCACCCAGGTACCCCAAATGTTCTTTGTTTTTACTGCTTGTTAAGAAACGTGCAAATGGCAGCTTGGGGGCATTTGGCTGCCCAAAGCGAGTTGCATGCCCTTGACGGTCTGCCTCCTCTCAACTGGTGAGGTTGGTGAAGGCTCAGCCAAACATTTTGCTTCTTTGGCTTTAATATCATGACTGGCTAGTTAAGTCAACATTCAGTCACGCTCTTACTTGACCCATACACTGAATTTTACTCTGTTTAGTCCTTTTATCTTTCTGTCCTTTTTACTTTGCTTTTATTAACTGCTGTGTTAGAAAATTTGAAGGTTTTTTGGAGGTAATAGACCTGATCTCAAAACAGACAATGAAAATTATACATCTTGTTTTTATAGATTATAAAAGTACATACATTCTGTATTTACTGTTAGGAGAGTGTGTTCATTTGTTACATGTAATGAGAAAAAATAATACATACTTTTTGAGAAAAATTGGAAAGCATAGATAAATATAATATAACCAAGAAAAAGAATTACTGTAAGCTTACCATCCATAGGCAGACACTGTCAACATTTTGGCAGGTGTCTTGCTCAGTTTTTTCTACCTGTTTTTGCACAGTTGAAATAATACCGAGTAGAGAATTTTATATCTTGTCTTGTTTTTGTGTTTTGCTGTCCAGTGGATCATAAACATTTTTTTAAGCCATGAAAAATGCATAGGCATATTTTAGTATCTATATAATATTCCATGAGATGGATATGCCATCATGTACTTAACCAGTCTTTCTTGTTAGACTTTTAAATTAAACTGTTTCCAAGTTCTTGCTACTGTAAGTAATGCTGGGATGAACATGTTTGGCCAGAGCCACTTCATTCCAGATTGCATTCTCTTGGGGTAGGTTCCTTGGATTGGAGGTTAAAAGTAGTTCTAAGGCTTTTTAGAGGAGTTGGCCAATTTACACGCCCCCTGGCAGTTTATGAGACTGCCTCATCACACCACACTGTTCCCAGCATTAGATACTATTACATTTAAATCTTTGCTAATTTTGTAAGCAAAAATAATGGCTGTACCTAATTTGCATCCCCCCGGCCCCGTTAGTTGTGCTACTGAACATTTTCGGGAAGTTCATTACCATTTGAAGTTATTTCATGAATTGACTGTGTGTTTGCCCATTTTTTCTTAGGGTGTCCAGTTTGTTTTTTTATCACTGATTTGTGAACACTTGTATGGGTGATGATTTGATTATTACCAGTTTTTCCTACTAGACTGACAATATTTAGTTTTGTTCTCCTTATGTCCACAGTGTCTGCTGTTTGCTCTCTTGCCTGGCATTAGTAATCACTCAGTAAAAATTTATTGAAGGAGTACATGAAGACAATGCTTTGTTTTGCTTGAGAAGGACTAGTAATCATTTTTTTTCCGCCCAGAGGTCTAAGAGAAGGAACTAAGTAACTGAGTGGGGACAGATCAACTCAGGGGTCATCATACGTATTTTATTTATTTTTTATTATGATTTATTTATTTATTTAGTTT